TGCCCCTGACTGGACAGAGCGGGAGGTCCCAGAGTCCTCCTTTGTCCTGGAGGGAGACAGTGGTCTACCCTCCAGCTCCTGGGGAAGAAGGGCCTGGCAGTAGGAGTCAATCTCCTGCTCACAGTCCCTGATGGCACGCAGTCTCTGGACTGTAGCCTGGAGCTCTTCCAGCTGGCGCGCCAGAGACCCCAAAAGGGAGCAGACCGTACATGGGGAGGTGGCCATGCTCCCGGCCACCAGAGCCTGAAAAAGGGACAGGCAGCCCACGCAACCGAGAGCCAGGGGCTCCATCTGGTGGCAGTCTCTGAGGTGCTGGGGGGGGGCGGGCTGCAGAGACCAAGGGGACCCTTGGGGTGCGGCACGTGCCCATCTATGTCATGCCTCTGGTAGGCTGGCTACGGCTGGGACTGTCTACCCTGGGGGGTTTGCAGGCAGGGTCTCGGGCCCTCCCATGAACCCTCCTGCGCGAACTCTGCACTAACTCACGCGCCAGCAGGCAAGCGCGCCTGTTTGTGCAGCCTATTCGCGTGGCTCCCTGGGGGGTTGGGTGAAGTAGGGGCCTGGGTGGGGCTTGACCCGGCCCGGCTCCACTCAGCCGCCCCCTCCCACCACGGGCCCCGCTTACCTCCAGCGGGTCTCTGGGGGGCTTTGGGGGAGCGGGGGCGTAGCGGGCTCTCACCCACGCATCTCTCACCGCTTCGGAGCCTAACAGATGGGAACAAGATTCCCATTAGCACACAACCCTTTAAGACCTTCTCTGAAGTGAGGATATCTTTCTTCATGAAAAACACTGAACTGCTAATACTAGGACCCTTAAATACTGCACCATCACAATGTTGATCCAGCGCCACCCCACCTACACAGTTGCTTTCATCTTGAGGCTGGCAGGGTTCTTTAGAGTCTCTGCAAGATGAAGGATAACGGGAAATCACGTCACCCATTCCTTCACCAACTCTAGTCAATTACTTCTGAAATGACATTACTTACCTTTCAAACCACTGCTTTATACTCTGCATAAGAGCTTCATTAGGATAGACTTGGTTCTCTCTAAAACACAGGAGCATGCTTAAGAGTTCTTTTTTTAATTTATCATCTTGTGTACCCTTGCTGCTGTCAAAAAAGGCCTGCGGCACATCCAAGTTTGGCATTATATTCTTGGCCAACATTTCATGATACAGCTCTAATGCCAGTTGTATGTCTTGATTATTGAGAGCCGCTTTGATACAATGTCCATAGCACCCTTTTGAGGGGACTGTAAACTTTTTCATTTCCTTCAGGAGCAAAATGGCCTCTCTCCAGCGCTCTGTACCACTCAGACCCCTGATCAGAACACCGTAACCCCCAGTTTCTAAAGTCTTAAATTTGAGTTTTATTATATCATAGATATCAAAAAACTCTGCTGTCTGCCCCTGCTGGAGACACAGAGTCAGGTACGCAATCAATAAATTATACCTGACATCCCCATTTCTCAATACCACATCAGCCATCAAGGACTTGGCCACATCTATGGAGCTCTTGTGCTTGACCATTTGTCGTAACATTACAATCTCAAAATCTGTACAAAGCTTCAGTTGTGTCCTCAATTCCTGCCACTCCTTAGCATTCAAAGGTTTTTCTGGAGGCTGGATATCATGTCTTCTAGACAGCCTGAGCAGTCTTATAGCTGTAGGTGTCCTTTGGATCTCTGATCGCTGTTTGGCAGCTCCAGCAAAGAATGGGTGTATAAGACTTTTCTCCTCTTCCCTGCAGCTATCCTGCATTTTTACTTTTCTTCCATCTCTGCTTCTAGATCTGGACTTGTGCAGCATATGAACTCCTTTGAGCTTCTGAGGTAGTGCAGATTGGGAAGATGTAGTAAAAGGCAAACCTTTAACTCGATCCCTACTGAGGAGGTCAACCATGAGAACCAGTGACTTCTGACAAGTGGAAGCAGGCTGAAACAGGAAACGTCTACCCAGGAAAGTCTGCAAACCCCAGTAACTCGCTTGAAGGAAGAAAGCCATAATAATAAGAAATCAATATGCTGGGGAAGATTTCCAGGAAAGGTCTAACAGTAAGTGCAGCTTGCACAAATAAATGTATAATTCAAATCTAAGGGCTATCTGGAGAAACATTTAAAATGAGCAAAATATTAATAAAAAAATAGTATGTCTTTCTTCCAGAGAAAAAGGCCTGCAAATTGCTGTTTATTGTGGCTATCCTACCACTAATGCTCTTCAAGGCTTGTCATACATGCATGTGGAACTGGGGAATATGATACAGCTTCCAAAAACAGAGCTCTTCTGCTGCTTCCCTCCAAATAAGGAGATGAGTCCCTGGGGGGGAAAGCAGACCACAAAGGACAACATTGGCACCACTGTCAAAGGTAACATCCAGCAATTCAATTCAGTTTACATTTTAACAACAAAAACTGAACCACTTCAGGTCAAGATCCCAACTTTTTGTGCCTAGAGACTGCTGAGATGCTGCTACTAACATACAGTTTCTACCCTACGTCCATAAACTTTGAGTAAGTGGGAGCTGTCTGCTCGCAATAGGAACAAGGAAAAACTAGTGCCTCGGCCCCCCCAGTAAGCAGGGGATGCTTTCCGGTAGCAGCCATCACCTGCTTTGCCAGCCAGTTTGTAGTAAGGGGCACCTCAGGAGGGCATAATTTCCTGCAGAAGGCAGAGCAGGGGGGCACCTTAAAGACTAAATGCTTCAGAGAAGCATAAGCTTTCCTAGGCACATCCTGCTTCCTCAGATGCTACGAAGGGACTTCCAGAAACCAGCTGTTCTAGATAGAAGGGAACTTAAACACAAACACTGGGGTTGGGGGGCCAGTGCTGAGAAAGGCAGCACCTACAGCTCAGTATGCCAAGGGGGACAAACAAGGTGCTCAACTGGCTGAGGGACATAGGGTCATCATTGCACCAAACCCCTCAGACCGCCCAGGGTCGTTCACACTCGCCAGCACCTGCTTGGGCTAAAAACAGGCCGGATCTTGCCCCAAGACAAGCCTGGTGTGCTGGGATCCTGAGCCCGACAAGCCCCTGGGCCCACGCTCAGTACCTGTGAAGAGCCCGAATGAACCCCGAGACCACCGCGGGAGCGGAGGCGCTAACTCGAGGTAACTGCCATCCAAGCTGCACGTGTCAACGCCGCCTGCTCGGTGCAGGGCAGAGGTTGGGAGCCGACGCCGGGCCCCTCCACCACCCACGTGGAGCCGCAAGCAACGCAGATCTTCACGGCCTCACTCCTCTTCCGGAAAAACTAGTTCCCGGCATGCAGCGCGAGGCGGCGGCGGCACATGCGCGCCCCATTGTGCCGCAAAGCGAGCTGGGAGTTGTAGTTTGCGCCGATTGCAGGCTCTCTGAAAACTGCCCTCCGCTCGCTGACCGACCCGAGCCCACGCGTGGCAAGTGCCAACCTCTCACTACTGCTAAACTCCCACCAAAGTGCTACAGTCCACAAGAGCTGCGAAGCGGCCGAGCAGTCTATACCCACCAGGCTTCTCAAGCTAAGGTGTCTCAGCCAATCAGAGCTCCCGCCGAACTCCTTCGCGGAAGAGGGTATTGTGCACGTGACCGCCGTGATCCTATGAAAGGAGGAAGCCTTAGACTCACCTTAGTGGCCTTTAGACTCCATCTTGGTTGTGGGCAAGAGTTAGGGCCGCGCCGGGCACGTGACGCAAAGAGGCATGGCAGCCCCAAGATGGCGGTGGTAGAGGGCCACATGATGCAGGCAGAATAGTCTGGATGCGCGGCGGCTGGAGCGGGAGGTGGATTCGTGGCATGGAGTGGAGACAGGCGCTGAAGGGCCGGCTCGCGGCCCGTCCTGGTAGTGAGTGGAGGCGTGAGCAGGTCGGCACAGGGTGGTGGGAGGGTAGTAGGTCCCGCAGCAGGCGCTGGAGCTACCTGCCGTGCGCGCATGCGCAATGCCCCCCCCCCTTCCCCCTTGCTGAGGGCTTGGAGGAAAAAGCAAAAAGCAGCTGCTGAGCGGGGGCGCTTGCGGCTACCGCATGGGCGGAGTCTGGCGGGGGGGTCGCTGGCAACCGGGTCGTAGCGCCCCCTGGGCTCTGTGCGCATGGCAAAGAGCTCGTGAAATTGTAACGGGATAAAAAATAGTGCGTGGTGGTGGTTGTTGTTGTTTTTTTAAATCTGTCCTACATGACTAAGGATCTTGGGGCAGTTCTATGCTTTTTCTTCCAGATGATCAGTATCCAGAATAGTAAAATAAAGACCACGTTATACAAGACTTCCATCCAGGAAGAGCACACACTAACTGTAGATGCTTCCTCAGCCTGACAAAGGGTTTTTAAACCCAAAAGTTTGCTAAGAAAAACTTTTCCAACTATTTAGTTGGTCTAATAAAAGATATTGGATTTACCCAAATAACCTTGTCTAACTAAGTCCTTAGATCAACATGGCTACAACCTACACTCTTGTAAATTAGTTAATATTCTGTATATGTTTATAGTAAGTTTAGTTAGACTCCTTACTTAAATTATGTGCAAAGAGTTGCGCTAAATGCAAATGTGGGATCTGCCCTTGTCTCCTTCGGTATCTTTTGCCACAAAGAGCAAAAAACCCTTGACTTTAATACTGGAAAAACTACCATGATCTTTCTTCCAGGGTTTTGGAAACCTTCAAAAATGAGCATCCATAGGGAAGTTAGACTACAATCTCAGACTCTGGGTCACCTACAGTGGAAACTAGCCACCTGTTTTGCCACAGCCAAGAGCAATGCAATTCTTTAAGGAGCCTAACTTGAAAGTTCAGTGGGAGATCTTACTGCTCCCTAGCTATGCTAGTCATAACCAGGGATCCTGGTTTTCTCTGTTTTAAAACCCCCAAATATCTGATTCAAACCCCCTCCAAAATTCACATTTTTCTGTAATTGAAATGAAATGCCCCTATATAGATAGGTATCAGGTGAACACAATTTTTAGTGATATATTTACAATTTTTAAGCGGTTTTGGAAGCCTACCAGTGCATCTAGAATAAAATAAATTCAAAATGCCTATATAACTTAGCATTTGATTTTACATTTTTTATCATAGAAAATCAGAGCTCCCCCTCCAGCCCCTTTGCTCATCACAGCGCAGCTCTAGTTGGGGCTGTCCCCCTGCTGCTGTGTTGTGCTGAGCAGCCCTGATATGCTGATGCCCTGCCCATGCCACTGCCCCTTCCTCCCATCCTACAGTCCCCTAGCTCTTAGTGCCCCTCACTATCGACCTGCTACCCTCTACACCTAGACCCCAGTGTGCAAGGAAGGGAGTGGGTACGTGGAGAACAGGGTGGTTGTTAGGGGAAGGGAGGTGTGGGCACAGGTGATGCATGGGGGAGAAGGTGGAGGCACAGGTGATCCACGGTGGGGCATGGGCAACATCGGGGGGGGGGGGGGG